TATATAATAGATACATATATTTCTTTTGTCTTATATTTTCTCTTATTTTCTCCATCTCCCTCGCAGCAAGAAGATTTTCTATGCAAATAAATTCACAAAAAAAAGAAAAACTGCTTTCTTGGAACACCGACCTCTTGTTGACCAATCAATATAAAAGCCTGTGTTTTCTCTTGATCCGATAACGCTTACTCGTTGCCACTGAGAATGCTTGCGCTGCACTCAAAGATTATTGCAAAGATTGCACGCGTATGTTATTTTTAAAAAATCGCAAATTGCACGAAATAAAATGTTTCACACTTATGAAAAAAATATAAATCATATTTTTTTTTATTTGAAATTTCTCACATAATAACTTTGCAAAAAACCACAAGTTTTCTTTTTGTTACGAGAGCATATTTTACAATTAATAAAAATTTAATAATCAAAGTTAACAAAAAATAATTGTCTTGTTAAAAGTTTAGCGACGACAGAAATAGTTTGCTTGATTTTCTTGTTAAAAATTATTTTGGCAAATATTTTCATTGCTATATTGTACATTAAATGCACTGAATCTTTTTAGTGCTATTGTGTATTTGAGTTATCGAGCTAAAAGCTGCTCGTCGAATAATCGTCTCATTTCTTTTATCCAATTTTCATAAATTTTGCACAACATAATAACACTCTACTTTATAACTCGCCGCACCTAGAACTTTTACGGACGAAGAGCTTAATTTATTATAGAATTAAAAATTCCAACAACACAGCATACGAGAATCTTGAGTATCTGCTAATTCATATATTTATCGGTATCCAATTTAACGCCGCAGTATTGGATACAATGACGTCTCTGCCAATTTGTGTTTTGCATATTAGACGGTAATTGGGGTAACAGAGAGCAACGTTTTCCGATGAATATTCATCTTCTATCTATCATAGATATAAGTAACAGTGTGGATTATAACGCAAGATAATACGGGCATCATTGATGATAATATCGCCAAAGTATATTTTGGAGCTTCTTGATTTAAAAAATATCGTAAAAAGCAATAAATATTCATAAAATTATATTCATCTTAGTATGTAGGATATGTATAATATAAAAAAAGAGTACATTTACTGATAAAATAAATAAAATTTATTTTATATATTGATAAATTGTTGTTTTTCGACATCTAATTATAAATATATATTTTAAAATACGAGAATTATTATTAACTTTTTTTTCTTTTTCTTTTCGATATACCTTTTATTTATCGAATCGATTGATTCGCAAACATTTATTTTTATACCATGCTAGTTGCAACAGTGAAAGAATAATTCTGTAACAGTGCACAACTTGATATCGGAATGTATATTTAATTAAAGTTCAAACAATGTATGTAATAAATTACTACATGTCTCAATCGAAATATTAAGTCGGATTCCACGAACGACGGAAATAGTTGTTCAAACGAAGGCTCGGTGGCATTAAACGGAACACTATCGTGAATTCCGCGCATTACGCGATGCACAAATCAGAATTTCAAGCAGGTTATTGCGCCGATGGATGGCGAAATGGGAGCTAGGGAAAACGTATTATCGTGCACGCAAAGCTGACATTTGACCTAATGGCGAATTAAAGCAGTCAGTGTACAACCAAGAGATTTCAAAGAATGCTCATTTATTCAACAATGTACGTGAACATTGTATAAAGGATGAGAAATAATCTGAAAAATGCCCCTTTGCGCGGAGAAAAAGCTATTTTTAAATAGTTAGGATACCTAAAAAATCGCGGTTCTAACAGAAATAAAATGCGATATGTTTGACTGTACTGACCCAGTTTATATTTTTTAAACTATTTTCCTACCCAGCTATCACACATTCTATTTAACTCTAGTTTATATACATATGTATACAAATATATTATTTAT